TGACGTGGCAGCTGCCATGCGCTGTCGCTGATGTGGCTGCTGCCACGTGTATCATTGGTTGACGTGGCTGCTGCCACGTGTTCTATGGCTGGGACTACATGATCGGCATTGCTGTTCTGTTTCATCATCACTTCAAGAGGAGATCAGGACTGTGGAGCGTTCGAGGATACGTACCTGGTTGTCTTCGTGTTGACATTGCTCCAGCGCTGATGTGGGACTTACTAGACGTGCCACGTGGCACATTGAGGATACTCTGGATACTCGTTCAGACTATTGATTATTGAGGTGGTAATAGAGGAGGGAGCTCGAAGCAGGAGTGGGCATTGTACTTCCTCTCCTTTGTCTCTTCTCCCTCCTCTCTCTTCGTCTCTGTATGATTACCTCATCTCATTCTGTCTGGTTACGATTTTGACTATTAGTAATCATCAGCTGATGGACATTTATCTGGGCTTGCATTGTTGACAACTGTCTTCACGATCTGGGTTCATTACAATTTGGTATCGGAGCAGTTCTCCTGGTGATGACATTTGTACATTGAGTACGCGCCAGGTGGCGCGCAGGTAAGTAAGGTTGAGTAGGTGATGACGTGGCAAGGGATACGCTGAGGGTGTTGACGTGGCACATACCTCTCTGGCGAGGGTACACTGCCGGGGTTTGTTAACGAAGTGCAGATTCATTGGCGAGAAGACTTGATCGGGGAAGCTGACGAGGTACAAACTCTGCCGGCCAGAAGACATCCTAGGCTGCTAACGTGGCAGTCGGGATCGCGACAAAGGATACCGCATGCTAGCCAGGATCGCGACAGTGACGAGGAATCGCGATCCCTTGATGACGTGGCAAATATCGTGCTGCATCTAAAGACCGTGTTGATTGCTGATGTGACACTCCTTGTGCTGCTGACACGCGACAGGGTCTACGGCAGATGCTGACGTGGCCTGGAGAAAAGAAGATTGATTGCTGACGTGGCAAGAGCAGGTCATCACACTTGTCTTCATGAGATGGTGTCTGCCTGCTGACATGGCCTTGAACTCCTTGGCTGACGTGGCATGATCTGACTGGCTGGACGGCGACAACATCTCAACGTGACGCTTGGAAGAGGCACGTGGCGAGGATCAGACTACACATTTGCTGACGTGGCATCCCATTATTGACAGACTGGACAGAGTGCTGACATGAACATTTGCTATGTTGGCACTCCAGGGATGACACGTGGCAGGCAGGATATTGCCAAGTTAGAGGTGCATTCTAAAGACGACGGCGGTACAACTGACTGGACTAATTACACAGTTGTAGTGCCTGCTGTCAGGGAGAATGTGTGATCGCACTGACATCAAGAAGACACAACAAACTGACGAAGATTGCTGACAAACTGTTTTGTGATTGTTGTCGGCATACTTACCTGTTGTTGATGTGTGTGGTGTTTGCGTACTTACTTGTGTGTTGTGTTTGATCACACGGGGCTGGAGTGGTACCTGTACACCCTTGTTTAGGACGTCATCACACGGACAGACAAAGAACAGCAATAGTTAGAAATAGAAATAATTGTATCTGAATTTTTTTCTTTGGTTCTTTGAAATCTTGCTGTGGTAGATCAGTGCGGCTGTGGAATTTATTACTGTTAATTAAGTATTTATTGTGCGGCAGACGCACGTCACGATGTCTTTTCTCTGGAATTCTCTGAAATTGTCAGTGCTCACACGTTTTATCCCTCTTCTCTTCTACCCAGTCTCACTCATGTTTGTTGTTGATGAGGAGACTCTTGACCCCTAAACGAAGCAGGAAGTGAAAGAGCGGAAAAAAGTTTTGATTGCCCGTTTGGACAAATTGATTTTTGAACTACATGATGCCGGTGAAGATGTTGAGGCTCACGTCCGAAGCCTGTTCGATTTAAAAGCATTGCATAATGCTATTGAATTGGCTAAGACAGACACCGACGTCATTCAGGTTCAGGATATACTAATCAAGTGTCGTCATGCACTTGATAAGTATATCATGGATCAGTTCTCTGAGCTTGCTGCACGAAAAGAAGAAGGAGAAATGGTTGTGTCTGAAGAAACCGTGGATGAAAAGATAAGACAACTGGAAGAAGCACTAGAGAGAGAGAAGAAGAGGAAAGAAGAATTGAGAAAGAAAAACAGTGAACAGCAAGAACAAAAAATTCAAGAAAATAAACAAACTGTTGTAAAGACCGAAGGGGAAGAACAGGAGATTTCTTTGGCTCAGCTTGCGAATTACCTTGCCCACCTAGAAATGAAAATCAATGAGTATAGTGAACGGATGCAGTCACAAATCGATGATGTGGTCACAGGACTCTGGATAATCACGAATCTGGTCAAGGGGAAGGAAAAGGTAAAGGAAGAAAAAAACGAAAAGCCAGAGAAACTAATGGGAGATGCCATGAAGTCTCTTACTGTGGTGACTCAGAAACCGAAAGAGAAGAAACCGGTAGAGAAGAAACGAGAACCTTCAAGTCCGCCGAAGTCTCCAAACGAAACAAAGGACCACATCACACAACCGGAGAAACCCAAGAGAAAGGAGAGGGTGAAAATGAAATTGCCTTTCACATTCTGCAACAAAAAAGATGAAAACCTATTGTTGTGGATTGCCGAGATTCAAACATATTGTAGTACGGCCCCTGTTGAACCCGATTCCCAGGTCGCTTTCTCTACTTCTTGTCTCGGAGGGGAAGCTAAGGAATGGGTGTTGGCCGAAGCGAATGCGGCAGGGTTCGATGACATTGGGGATTGGGCTGGAACCTTGAACCTCAAGCAGTTCCTTGGTAAGATCAAGGAACGTTTTTTGGACAAAACGACGACCGACAAGGCCTTTGACCAGCTCACCACAATTGGTCAAAAACATTGGACCTTTGTGGAATCGCTGTCTCGGGAAGTTGATCGGTTGCTGCAGGTTCTGGGATTGAACCTGCAAGACAACCAAGTCTTGTACATCTATTCTCGTGCTCTGCCCGAGCCCATCCTAGGACAACTCGTGGCAGAGTCCAAGTCCGGTAAGTATAATTACAGGCAGTTTCGGGATCTGGCTCTCCAACGAGAGCAAATGACTTCTCAAGTTAAGAACTCTTATGCATCTGTTGTGAAATATGGTGGTGGTGCAGGTACAGGTAAGTGGATACTTTGGCGCCAAAAGCGCCAGGACCACACCCTCGTCGTCTTTGCTGACGATACCGTGGAGAAGTGGTCATTGGAGGCCGAGGGTGTGGCAAGCAGTAGTGATTCCGGGAAGGGGGAAGTCACTGCTGCCGTGGTCAACAGGGGAGGACCACGACCGCCAGTCAAGAAGAAGAGGCCACGCTCATTCCCAGAGCACCCCGGGATTGCGGTCGGGAAGCCTTGGGAAAAGATGGGCCTGTCACAAGAAACGTGGCAGGAAAGAATGGATAACGCACAGTGTTTGAAGTATGGGATCGCAGGGCATGTGATTGCATGGTGCCCACTTATCCGTAACCCAAAAGCGAGCCGCCAATAGGAGTAGCATTTGCTCCTACTGAGTCTAAGGGTTTGGACCAAGATGAAGGTAAGGCGCCTAGTAACCCTTCCAACCCTTTGACTTGCATGGCAGAGGATGGTTCTTCTTCGGCCCATCGTCCGGAACACCCTGAACCTGTCTTATGTACTGTCTCTCTGGACGACTCTCTTGACGAGCTTGGTAACGAGTTGCTGGCACTACGAAGCTCATGGGCTAAGAAATCTAAGTCTAAGGGTGACCTAC